TTGGTTGCAGTTGGCATTGTTGTTTGGTGGGCCTGGGCTGGATTCGAACCTGCCACCTTAGGTGTAGGTGGCTAGTGCCAAGCCCAAACTCTTGGTTTTAAGCAATTCCCTTGCCTCAGCCTCCCAAGTAGCTGAGACTGCAGGCACCCACCACAATGCCTGGCTATTTTTTTGTTGCAGTTGTCATTGTTGTTCAGCAGACTGTGGCTGGGTTTGAACCCACCAGCCTCGGTGTATGTGGCCAGTGCCCTAACCACTGGGCTATGGACACTGACCCTAATTTCCTATTTAAACACCTTCAGTGACCCACCCCCACCCACTGCCTTTTATAGTGTCACAGCTCACAGCAACCTCAAACTCTTGGGCTTATGTAATTTTCTTGCCTCAGCCTCCCAAGTAGCTAGAACTACAGGTGCCTGCCACAACGCCTGGCTATTTTTTTGTTGCAGTTGTCATCGTTGATTTTAGCTGGCCCAGGCTTGATTCGAACCTGCCAGCCTTGGTGTATGTGGCCAGTGCTCTACCCACTGAGCTACAGGTGCCACCACCTCTCTGACCTTTGAATCTAACCCAGATTCTTTTTTTTTTTGAGACAGAGTCTCACTATGTTGCCCTCAGTAGAGTACTTTGGCATCACAGCTCACAGCAACCTCAAACTCTTGGGCTTAAGCTATTCTCTTGCCTCAGCCTCCCAAGTAGCTGGGACTATAGGCACTTCCACAATGGCTGGCTATTTTTTTTGTTGTTGTTGCAGTTGTCATTGTTCAGCTGGCCTGGGCTGGGTTCCAACCCACCAGCCTGGGTGTATTTGGCCAGCGCCCCACCCACTGAGCTATGGGCGCCACCAGATTCTTTTTTTTTTGAGACTTTGTTGCCCAAACTATAATGCTGTGTCATCAGCCTAGCTCACAGAAACCTCAAACTCCTCTGAGTTCAAACAATCCTCCTGCTTCAGCTTCCTGAGTTGTTGGGACTACAGGCACTCACAATGCCTAATTTTTCTATTTTTGGTAGAGATGAGGTCTCACTCTTGCTTAGGCTGGTTTTGGAATTCCTGAGCTCAAGGGATTTTCCCACCTTGGCCTCCCAGAGTGCTAGGATTATAGGGGTAAGCCACCACACCAGGCCAACAAGATTTTTGTTTTTTTAAAAACTATTCAGGACCCATTCATCCTGTTGGAAGCTTTCTTTTTTTGTTTTTTGAGACAGAGTCTTTCTATGTCACCTTCAGTACAGTGCTATGGCATCACAGCTCACGGCAACCTCTAAATCTTGGGCTTAAGAGATTCTCTTGCCTCAGCCTCCCAAGTAGCTGAGATATAGGAGCCTGCCACTGCTGGAAGCTTTCCTATTTTATTTTTTCATTTGAGATGAAGTCTCAAGCTGTTGCCCTGGGTAAAGTGCTGTGGCGTCATAGCTCATAGCAACCTCCAACTCTTGGGCTCAAGTGAACCTCTTGCCTCAGTTTTTCTATTTTTAGTAGAGACAGGTCTCACTCTTGCTCAGGCTGGTCTCAAACTTGTGAGCTCAAGCAATCTACCTGCCTCGGCTAGGATCCACTACCTCCCAGAGTGCGAGGATTACAGGTGTGAGCCACTGCCTGGCCTAGCTTTCCTATCTTCTAATAATAAACTATTGCTCTATCGCTTCTGCTTGCCTGTG